CGGAAATGTAGCAAGCAGTGATGAAACGTCCATTCATGCGGGCCACGCATGGATGTGTGTTTATTTAACTACTGTGCAGGTTAATCTGGGCCCTCAAAGCCTGGTGCAGTGTGTTAGTGCCAAGGCTCACAAACTTTCTGTGCTCTGATCAGCCAGCCAGCTTTGAAACCTGAGGCAGAGAAACGAAATCTCCTCCAAAAGCTGCGGCCCAGGCCCCCTCTGCTCTCAGAAGAAACTTTTAAAAAGGTAAATCAAGGTATGTTTTCTGCAAATTACTGCATGAATACCTCGCTTGTCATTAAGTGTCCGCACAGTAGAAAAATGTTCCTACAGTACTGTTGTTCCTTTGGATTTGGTGGCACCTTTACCTCCAGTTGCCCATAAACGTAAACCATTTAATGGAGATCCAGTCTCTGGACAGGAGCTCTAAAAGCCAAAACAGTAGCTCGGCAGTGGAGGAAAATGAAGCGATTGTTCCGTTTTTTAACCGGCTGAGCCATTTTCCCCATGAACAATAAAATGAACAACACAGGGGGAACACTGGAAGAAATTAGTCCCCAACTGCAGTAACTGCAGTAGCTAATCAACACAGCCACAACACACATCACAACGCCCTATTTTGTGTGACAGAATTGAAGATAAACGCTGGCGTGGCACCGAAAGATTTTGTGCTGTAATCATGGCAAACCACAAAAAAAAAACTCACCATGACATCGTGTTATTTAAAATTTTAAATAATTACAGAGGAGGGATGCTTAATGAGATTTTTTACTGTTTCAAAAAACAGATTTAATATATGTGAAAGTATTTCAGATGAGGGCAGTCTGCATAAAATCGAAATCATCCTTCTTCATGAGACTGAGATGTAATACAACCTGAAGAGTTGTGGCTTCTTTGTGTTTACTGGAGGATTTTTATTCTCTTTCATTTCATGCCTTAACTGGAATCTTCTGCGTGCGCCAATCATTAACAAATACCTCTGGTGGGTTCAGAATAGAACACCAAACATACATTTTCTATGTTTGGTATTTCAAACATTCATTATAACGACAGGAGGAGGCCCCACGCAGACCAACACAAACACGTCCGAAGAAGACTGACTGAACTAAGAAAATGAGAGAAGTCTTTATTTTCTCTGTGGAGAGAGGAAGAAGAAAACACGGGTACCAAGCACAGCTCCTCTGGCACCGAGCCACTGCTGAATATCAAGAATCAGTTTACAGTTGGACTTCGTAGCAGCACCTCCCTTCTCTGCAGTCCATCTGTGAGTGAGTTATATTCCTCCAGAACGTGCATGGATGAGGTGCTCGTTTAGCAGCCTCCCCAAAATACACAGAGTGGCCATCTGTGTGTGACACACTCTTTACCACACTTACTTGTGTTTCACTTTCATCTCCCTCTCTTTCAACTTGCAGTTGCTTCGGCATCGTCCTTGTCAGCTAAACCTCCTGTTTCTGTATTTTTTTTCTCATCTCTATAAAATAATAAAATACTTTTTTCCATTTCTATTTTTCTGCTGTGCTTGGGTGCACACAGCTCCCTCTTAACTACTCTCTTGTACGTGGCCAGTACCATCAATCTGTGCTGTTTGAACAGGTAACAAATGTAGGAGGCACTGTGTCATGGGTGTGTTAGTTTCAGCTCCAGCTCCCGCCCCCTCCCCACCCACCCCTTCTCCAGTTCGTGCTTCAGGAGTCTGATAACTATCTGCGCTCCTATGCTAACTAGTGGCGTTTTTGGCAAATTGATGGTTTAATTTTAGTTTCTAACTAGTAGTGAGAAGGCCTTCAATCTAGTCCATAATAGTCCCTAAATCCAACTCGACATAAACAGCATACAACTCATTGCACAATGCCTTTTCCTCCCACCGCTCTAAACAGAATAACTACAGTGTTTGTGATTTTTGCAGCGTATTTTAGGGTGTTGGGTTTGTGGGTGCAGGATGGATCATGGTGTGGATAGTTGATAACATCTGAGAAGAGCCAGCAGGCCGATAGAATCAGCCGCCCTCAGGGGCAATGACGTACTTCATCATGCAACAGCGTTGCAAAGTTAACCATCATGCCATCGAGCCTCACAAGAGAGAGTATTCAGTATTCGAGGGCAGCGCGCCATGAGAGTGAGGCACACCATCACCCATCCTGTGGTAATGCTGGTAGTAATCTGTCACATTAGCATTTCTTTAAGGCGGTGAAGGCTACCCATCTCTGGGAGCGGTGTGACGTGATGATACATGCTGCTTTGTGAGCTTGTGGAGTGCCATGCCCGTTACCAGAGTTAGCTATCCTTTGAGGAATAGCTTGACATTTTTGGAAAACAACACCAGTCGATGTCTTGTCTGGAGTTGGATGAGAAGATTGATACCACTCATATGTCCGTGCGTTAAGTCTGGAACGTGAGCCTGGAGGCAATAAGCTTTAGGGATATTGGGTCAATATTGAGTAGCTGGATCGGTTGTCAGTGGCAAAGGATCCGATCTGTTCAATTCAAATGTTTATGTACAATATATATCGGAATTTTAATTTTTGTTAAAGGTTTGCCCAATTTGTTGATGCATTAAAAGGTTTACACTTCAGGGGTCAGTCAGGAAATGTGTAAGTCAAGCCTGATGTTGCTTTACAAGAACGATCCCAGCTTATCAATTAAACACTGGTATCAATCTGTTACTCCTTATCAGCCAATACCCAAAGCCAAGGAACGGTTCAATCCTCTTTCCAACCTCCTTCACACCAGCCTTTATCTGCATTAGGAGACATGCTCTTTGAGTTTCAATGCAGACAAATCAAGCAACCAAAGGAACGACAACAAATAAGCAAAAACAAAAAGCCCCTTTGTAAGTAAGAACCAAGTGACCTAACTATTTGCATGTACAGTAAGTTCTTCCAAGCAGAGCTATGCCATATGCATACAAGGGGCCTTATTCAAACATCCATCTCTGCATGTGGGTGGGCAGGCTTTCAGGAGTTTCCCCATGGGAGCCTGAGGTCACACCCTGCTCGTCCTCATCCTTCGGTGACCTTCCTGTCTACAGTTCATATATTCCACATTAATAAAAGGTCATAAAAAAAGGAAACTCTGCAGTGCAGCATACTGCATAAACAGTGTTGACATTACAAATGACTGAAAGGGGCATGATGTCATCCGTGTGCATCCTCGATACAACCAAACAGAAATCTTTTCTTTGCATTTCTCCTCTTCATACTTCTCTTCAGTACTAAAGTGTTAGAATAACAATAGCAGCATCTGAGTCATGGATGACTGGCAGCTGTAAGAGTGCAGAGGATGGTATTTTTATGCCATCCTAGCAGCTGGATCTTATGTTAATAATCTATAGATCTACATGCAAATGAACCTCCGATGAAAAGTCATGACAGAAACAACCAATGTATGCCAAGAATCAGTCATTAGCTAACAAGAGAACAATGTGATCATGAGAGAAGCAGTCAAATGGGAGTACTGGCCTCAAGTCAGGATGATCTCATAACAGAGCTGAGGCAACTTTATCTCTACTTATGCCAATGAGAAGTTTAATGTAATTCATTCAAACCAGGACTTTGCTGTGTTCATTTTCAAAGCTGATTGAATAACAATAGAACAAATCATAATATGGCACTGGGAACACACATTATATCCACAACGGACTGACGATTATGTGTTTTTTCTCTCTCTTGTGCCCCTCACCTGGATCCTTCTGTGCTTTCTTGTCCCTTAGAAGAGTTTGAATGTAACAATGCGGCCCCCATGTGGCCAAGAGAGGTACCTGTATATGATCCTGTATTTATTTGTATAGTACTAAAAGAAATGAATGGGATCAGGATAATAAGTTTTGTTTCAAAACCAGAAAAATCCTACTTAAATAAAATGAATGAGAAACAAAAAAGTACAACGTGGTTACTCTACGGACGTATGCAGAGAACGGGTGGCTCAGGTGACTCAACTAAAATCATAAAACTGATTTACTAATGAATTAGGTCTCTAGCGACAACACTGCTGTGGAGATCTCCCTTTTTTTGTTATTATTGTGAACAAGGTTTTTTTTCATACTTGCAAGCAGTAGGCCCTTTCCCAGTGCACTACAGAACGCAGTCAATAGTCTTGGGGCAAGTATATCAGACATACGTACATCACATATATTAATTTCTTTATAAAAATCCGATAGGTAGCCATCGTCTCCAGGGGCCCTCTTGGACCTCCTGCAGTGAAATCTCATTTTCAGTTAAGTCCATAACGAGGAAATACATCTTTATGGTCAAGAGGAATTATATATTTAGTCTGCTCATTTGTGTGTGAACTAAAACATTCAACTTAGTGAAAGGGAGAAGTTAAGGGTGACACACTCTCCTACTAACTCTCTTTCTCTCTTTTGAATGTTCACATTGTTTTATAAAAAGTGAGTCCTGTATAGTGTAAGTAAATGTAAATTTCTTGACTTATCTAATGTATTTAAGAACAATGTATACTGAAACCATCAAGGCCTTAACACTAGTTTGGAACTAAGGGCCTCTCAATAAGATATAGGGTCTCTAACACATGCATTGCCTGAATGCTTAATTAATTGAATCATCACAACAAGGTGAGCCTAAAGTCTTTGGGGCAGTTGTCGAGTTTGTAATCCAGCCTTGGATAAAGTGAATTTCAGTCTTTAGAAACAAGGATATGAACTTTTTTTTAATCATTAAATAATTCGATTTGACGGTCTAATAAGACAAAGTCTGCAGATATAAATCCTGTGACGACTCCTCCACTCCATCAGGTGTCCCTGGTTATTCCTTCTCTTGCAGGATCTGGGTTGTCAGCCTCAAGACTTACTGTTCAAAAGTTACAGGCCGAAATGTAAAGTTATTTTTTACAACAGCAAACATTATGCAAGATAATCGTTGTGTAAACTGCTGTGCGTGCGTCTGCGTTTGTTTACAATGATCGGTGGCTTTCAGTCAGTTAGTTTCACCATGAGATATAAATTGTGATGTAAAAACATGTGACCAAATAAAAAAAAGACACTTTATAAAAGTTTTATTTCATGTTAAACAAGTAAACATGAATAGTGTTAAGGACAATATTACACAATTGTGTATAATTAATATTTCATCCCTTACTGTGGATTTAAATATGCTGCTGTAAAAACTAATTTAATCACAAAGATCTCCCAAAATCACTCTCAAGAACGTCGATACTGTGTATGTATATATATATACATACTGTACATAAACTGTAAACTCAAAATACTGACTTGTAAAATTGTTGAGGCATACCATTTTACAGATTTCTCTTTCAGATATAGGTTTCAATTTACAATTAAATATTAAAAAGAATATTTCTGAACGTTACATTTTTAAATGCTCAAATTGTGCATTATCAGATTTAATTCAGCCTTTTTTTTTTACTTGTTTTTATTTATAAATACTTGCATCTAACAATCTAACTCTTCTTAGAAGGGAAGTGGGTCCAACGACTTCCTGATTGTGTCGTTCTATACGTCACACTGCAACAGGACGGAGATCATGGCGCTTTCCAAGGCTGGTATGTTACCGTTTGTGTGTTTTTGTGTTTAAAACTTGGCTTCCTTGATTATAGAGGCTGCAGCCAGGCTCCCATTGTGGCAGTCGGAGGGTCCCTATCAATCAAAACAGGCTTGTTAATTCAACCATTTTTATAGATTCAGCACAGAAGTTGTCTTTCGTCTGTAGATTTTAAGTTGATTGGTGGCTGAGTCCGAGAATTCATCAAAAACTGTGACACCCATATTAAAAACCCCAACACGTGTTCAGCTAAACGCGACAGTACATTATGTCCTTCCAATGTGCTCAATCTTTATAGACAATCTTTATATACATATTGCTACAAATGAAGATAACATGCGACTGAAAAGAGCCCAGATGATCTTTTTTACATCATCTTACCTGTACACGTCTACGGCTGTTGCTTCCGGTTACTGATAGACGTAAGGTGCAAAGGACCAAAGATAGCACCAAAATGATCTATTCAACTGCTGAAGCCGCTTCTGTAAGGCTGGCTGAGACTAATAGCTAGTCCTGCACTTCTCAAGCGGGTTAAGGCACAAAAAAGCAACTTTACATGTTGATCTTCTCATAAGCTTTCAATCCTTAAGGTTTATTTTCTACCCTGCATCTCTCTCACAAATGTGTCCGTACCAGGGCCCTACAACTGAGGCAGCTAAATTGAAGTCAGCCATCATTCATTTAATCATTTACACCTGTGCTTTACATGTCAAAATGTCTCCTCTGGCAAAAAGGCCATATGGATACATTACAAAACAGCACACAAATAAATAAGACTGTAGTTTTATACATGATGTAGTTTCCAATCCAAGTCTCTGTGTACCAACATGTAACAGTCTCTGAAACAAGCTAAGTGGAATCATTGTGTGAATTGAATTCAGTGTGATCGTAAGAAACAGAGTGAGAGACAGCAAAGGCAGGTTCAACAGTGACAGGTGGAAGGGTTTGCAGCGGGTGTTGGTGAATACTGACAGTGTGTGCTGATTGTTCTGTGCGCCTACCTTTGTGCATTTGCGTGTTGAGCTAAGATTTGAGGAGATTTTTTGTTTTGTTTTGTGGAAGCAGAAAGGTTTATTGATCAGGGTGTCTCCGGCTGCTGGGAGATTAGCGCCGTGCCTCCGTAGTCTTGTCCCGACATCTGCCCCTCCGCCTAAAACAACAGCTACCCATCACTTCTCATTCAGCGCTTATAGAGGCGTGAGTCTCCAGTCCTGGATGAAGCTGCTGCGACAGAATCTGATCTACCAGGCAGTTTTATAAATCCCTTACTGAACCATGCTTGAATGAATCCCTTCTTTTATAACCGAGTAAAATCACTTAAATCATTCTTAACGTTCAAGTAAAATCCAGCTTGGGTGTATTGCTTAAAGGAATAGTTCAACATTTTGTGAAATATGTTTTATTTTGAGAGTAAGTTGAGAAACCACTAAGTGGTATTTTTCCTCGGTCTGTACCTCTAAACACCCACACAACTGTGAATTGGCGTTTTTTACACCTAGGTATTTGTACAGATTAAAAAAACAAGATATAATATAATTACTGAGCTTTAGGGAAAATGTTGGTAGGTGGATTTAGTTCCATTCGAAAGAGGCAGACTAGCCGTTTCCCCCTGCTTTTACTCTTTAAGCTAAGCTAAGCTAAGCTAATCGTCTGGCTCTACACTAGCTTAGTGTTTAACAGACAGACACGAGAGTGGCATCGATCATCCAACTCTAACTTCTCTCTTTTTGAGTATATCATCTCTGTTCCTCACTGCATGTTTACATTGGATGTGAGGAATTTGAGTGCTGGTTTCCTCATGAGTAACTTCACCACAGGCCTTGGAGACTCACACAGGCATAAATAATGACAATATTGTCCATGATCATGTCACCTCCTGAGGGCAGCATTGCAGGTTATTTTTCCAACAATCTGCTACCAAAGGCGGGCAAGTTATTCAGTGGTGGTGAAATAGAAAGGCATGCATTAGGAAAGAACTAAGACAGCATGGGTTAAGAACAGTAGGTAAATCACAGGGATAAAGCATTAATCGTTGGTACTATCCAGACAAATTCAATAATCTCCTAAGATATGCGTTAGTTAATGCATTTCTTTTATCATGCAAGCAGATGCATGCTCTGTTCTATAAAATACAGAAGACTGAGAAAGATGAAAACAGCCCAATGTGCAGCAGAGGCAGTATCGGGCCATATTCACAAATATATGAATGTTAAATTGGGGCAGGCATGCAGGCTGACTCAACGACAACAAAAATAGACACAATAGGGAACAGAGTAAGTAAGTTATTTCTGGAGCAGGACAAGACACATGTGACTTTTGACTGCACTTTTGACTTTTTTCACAGCAGGGATTTTGACTCGTCATAGTAGGAAAAGCACAGGTTTTGCTAATAACATTAACAATGGCTCTGTTCATTCAGATGTCTGGTAAGCTATGGGAGAAGCAGACAATGAAACTGAAGCAGCTAAATGGAATTCAGCCATCATTAATTATACTATCCACACCTGTGTTTTTCCTGCCTTGAGGATGTCAAAATGTCAAAGTCATGAAAAAAAAAAGGCTTATTTCAAATTATAATACCACCACCATTGTTCCACTTCAGCATCCACAACAAACAAACACAGCATAACACCCTATTTCTGGCTTCAACACTTACTGCAGCTTTGGCCATCAGGTTTGCCTTTTGTCTCCGCAGATCAGACTTAATAAAGCCTACAGAGGAATGACGACAGAGAACAGGTAAAGCCTGCATGAGATAGTGTAATAAAATGATAAAAACAAATGATTTAATGACGGTGACTGTCCAGTAGGGGACTCTTGTGCACAGACACATTGCAGTATATACAGTAAAACACCATGTTGAGGATTTCCCAAGACTATGGAGAAAAAATTGCAAATCTATAGAAAATACAGTATGTCGAACACAAAACATGCATCCTAACTTACTCTTAAACTTTGCGTTGCAAAAATTATGAAAACAGCTTGGTTAACCTTTAACCTCAATTTCCACCACAGGAGAATGTTTCCCAACAAATAACCTTTGTGACTGAATACAGAGAGAGCCAGTACTGTATATAGCTCTGCGGTATATCAACAAATCATAGAAGTGGCTTTCTCATCAGTTGTGGCTTTTTCACAAAGCTGCTCTTTTCCTTGAAACTGGCATGACAGCCACAAGAAGAAGTCCACTCATATGTCTAAATGCTGAGTAACTTACAAAAGACGGTGAGTCAGTCTGCTGACCTTTGTAGGGGAGAAAAGTTAAAGTGTGTCTGGTATGCACAATCTGTATTGCTTCAGTGGCTACTGCATTTTAAAATAAAGTTATAAATTGCTCATAAACCGCTAAATGGGCCATGCAAAAATATCTTAGTGGCTTTTTATTGCCTGAGGTGGCAAATGTTACTCTGCACAGCATGTGTGTCACAGTCAGAAAGGTCTTACCTGTCATTATTGCGCCGATTAGAAGAAAAACACAGAGGAAGATGTTTCCTGCCAGTGTGCCGAAGCGGTCCATGATCTTCCCCTGGCAGATGGTGAAAATAATGCCAAACACCTGTGCATGCAGAAGACAATGCAATAGTTAGGAACACAGCTGGTGCTTGCATGCACACAAGCACTGTCACGGCCGCAATAAAAGAAAGGTTTGTGCAAAACAAATGTTCTCTGAAGCACTTCATCTCTACACAAAAATGCTGCATTCAGGGAAAGCCTGAGTATTATGGAATCAGCTCTTAAGCGGCCGTTTCACAGAAGTGATTTGTGAATGGTGGCAGTGTCATAATTCATAAATTGTCACTCTGAAACAAGAAGGATATTTGTCTGTTGCATGTTGCAGATTTGGTGAAACTGGTCCCAGGTCTGCAAGGAACAAACTCATCTGCAGACTTTAGCACATTTTACTGCACAGATTCTGCTGTTATTGTTAATATTTGTGTTAGTGTTTGAGGTATGTATTGTTTTCATGTATGTACCCAGGTCTCTTTAGAAACCTGCAATGGTACCGAGTGACTGTTCAGGTGAAAGAAGGCAAATGACTCACTGATTTCTGTACAACCAGTAAAAACCAAACATTTCTTCTCACGCTATCTCTAGTGGTGTAACGGATCACGGATCGATCCGTGATCCGTTCGGATCACGGATCGATCCGTGATCCGTTCGGATCAGCCCTCACGGTTCGGATCAACCCTCACGGTTCGGATCAACCCTCACGGTTCGGATCACTCGTGAACCGCGGATCAATCGAGTATTTTTTTATTTTTTACAGTGTAATCATCATAGTGTGTATCTCTTATTATGTTTTCAGTGACACTACGCGTCATTGAGCTGCACCTGTGCTGAACAGTTGAGGAGTCCAGATGAGGTTCCCTCCGACTCTGGGTACGTCAGCTCGACTGCAAACTCAAAGCCCAACGGCAGGTAGCCCGTCATGAAGAACCTGGACACACATACATACATACATACACACATATATAGCAGCACAGAGACACACAGTAAACATCATTGTTAATTATATAGAAGCACAAGCTGATTTAACCTCTTTTTTTCTGCTAAACCACAACATTTCTTGTACTAAATTGATCTAATTTCAATATTACAGCCAGTATTTTGCATGAATGGGTTAATGCAAAAACACACCTCCTATACAGACTCTGTCCAGTGATGTCACTTGCCTCTCCCTCTTCATAATAACTTGCAAGTCCTCTAAGGATTGTAAGCCTAAGCTACTTATCTGGGTATCTATGGTTTAATGACAATGGCGATGCCGTGCAGGAACAACAGGCCCTTCCACTGAAGTGATGACAGGCAAACTAAATGACAAGGTTCGTACATGGCAACAGCACCAAAACACATCAGCCTGTGTCACATTTCTTTGACATTTACATGCGCTTCCTCTGCCTATGGGTATTCTTTGATAATAAGAACATAGATCCATAGTATGTATATGTCCATATAGGGTTTATGTCCATCAAGAGTAAGGGATAAGATAGTGATGCATAGAGAAACAGAAATTCTTATCAAAAACAAGAAAAATACTCGGGACAATGCTTGTACACACTGGAAAAGAAATGTTAACTTCATGATTTGAATACCAGGAATTCCTGCAGGAACGTGGAGCTAGCTGGAGCTCATTTAGTGTCCTTTAACAATTCAGCTTTTCTTTCTGTTTGAGTTTGACAGTTCAGCCTGAGTCACATGAATGGTGTACAATGGCTGGCATGCATGCCTGTGTGGCATGTGTATCTTGTAGGCATGCCTTCACAGAAAGGGCGAACCCAATGTGGAACGGTGCCACTGAACAGGTGTAATGATTTCACAACAGCCACATAAAAGGTTAAGACTGCATGTGAACGTCCTCCTGGCAACAAGATCTGCTTTTAACTAACTTGTAGATCATTTTCAGGTATAAAGATGGAATTCATAGTAGCTCTACAACCTTCATTTTAATGCTTTGTACCCACATTACTGTGATGCTTGTAATGTAAGGCGTGTATCCGCACATTGTTCGTTTCCCATGAGCAGGAGGCTGATCACCTCCGCTCTATATACTGTACACTGAGTTTATGAAATGGGTCAGCGTGTAGCGAGGCACATCATCCTCTTCGATCATCTTTGATTTATATTGGTAAAAAATCCTGTGGTGAGCCTCTGTATAAGAAATGTACAAATAGTTAGAACTTAAAATGTGATGTTATTTAGCTCACTCCAGCTTGCTTACTTAGGATCGAATCCATCTTGAAATACATTTTTGGTTGCAAATATTTCTTTTCTGTTCCTTGACTGAACAAATTAAGTGCAAAAACATCCTGAGATCATAGTACTTCTATACCCAAAAAAGAAAGAAATGAACGAAAAAATACCCAAGAGCTCCAGCGGTGATGAAGACCACCCAGAGGTGTCCCAGATTGAGTGTAGCAGCATAGACTATCATCCCCACCAGAGACATGAAGTACACTGCGAGGGTCGTCTGCCTGGAAAAACACATGAAAGACATACAACAATGAGCACTGTAATTCATTATCATGGCAAATTCAGAGTACTGCTGCATTTTACCTCTCCGCGTTACAGTAGGCGCTGCATCTTCAAAACTCAACATGATCACAGCTACTAATTAAAATATGTATGACAGTAAATCAAATATGTGGATTACACAATAAAGCCAGCTTCCCATTCTCTCTTTTTGCAGAACAAAACTCTTGTAAGTTAGACCGGTTGACTGAAACCCCCCCATAGGGTGGACACTGCTGTCACAGCCAAAAGGCCCACAAGGTCAGTAAGATCGCTGTTGGAGCAGCATGCTGCACCTGGATAAACAGACAGAGTCCTGACAGCCAACACATAAACACTAAACAAGATCTGCAGCGAGATGAGAAGCATAATGACAATAAACAGATACGAAAAAAAGTTGGTGCACCTGTGTAATGTCGGATAAAATCATGTCAAAAACAACTTTGCGTCCCTCTCTGTGAATATTTTCCCAACACTGGAAAGTAAACTGTCCTTCAGGGAGGAAATAAATGCTGTTCTTGTACTTTTCCTTTCTGACATTCGCCTTACTTGTAGGTTTTAGTTTTGTCCAACCAAATGCCGCAGATGAGGGAGCCGACCATCCCCGCAATGACAATGGTGAGGCCAATCCTCCCAGCATTCACCTCTTCTCCCTAAAAGGGTCAAGGAAGACGGGACATAGATTAGTGACCTGATGGCACATTAATCTGGTGTCACATTTTTCATTTCTCTACAAAACCTACTGATATGAGAGTAAAATCTAATCAACAGCTTCAGAAGGCAACATCATTCCATAAACACATATTTAGCAGCAGCCGGTATTGATACTTCCATAAAGAAAAGTATTTGCAATGCAAAATATTACAGCTGAACCAGCTTTTCAAGTCCTGAAAATGTCAACTTGTGGGAGGTGCAACAAGGGTTTTGGGGAATACAGCAGATAGTAACACTATACTTTATGTCTATCCACATACAGACGCAGTAGGCGGGACTTACAGCGTAGTGCTCGATGATCATGCGGTTCAGCAGGGTGCCGACAGCATAGAAACAACCCACGTTCAAACCTGTGAGTTGGGAAATAATGTCAAACAAATTCTGCACACCACGACCCGCAGGACAAAAAACATGTTTCATAACATTTACGTGACGGAATCATTGAGCGGACTTCCTTAAGCGAATTACGAAATACTCTAAAGTCAGCAGTCGAAGGGTTTTTGGTTTGCAGTGGTGTCAAATTAACCTAAATCAGGCTGGTTTCCAAAACAGAGATCTGTCCCACACCAAGGACTTCTATAAAAGGACAGGACAGCACCGAGTGTTTTTGTCCTTGAACAAAAGAGAACGTCTGCAACTCAGACATAACCTGCACAGAAAGAACATTCCCCTGCATAAACAAGCACTTGCAAATATGACTGTGTAAATACGTTAAGTTGACAACAACAAGATATTCAGGATCAGCAGCTGCAGCTCAGTTAAACATACAGGGACAGGTGGAGCTGTGGCCTGCAGGGCAGAGTTACAATCACAGGTAAATCCGATAGCTCCAGACCAACAAGTTACTGAGGCTCAACAGAGAGAGAACTCAATGCTATAACTGAAAAACACTGAACTGTCGGTATATGTGATGTCTGATCTGCATAGTTATCCTAAAAATCATATTGCAAAAAGACAGCAGGACAGAGATGCATACAAAAAATAACACTAATTCTAGTCACATGAATTGTGTCATGAGAAATGAGTCGGTGAGGTCGAGCGAGGTGAAAGGCTTTCCATAAACAGGTCACAGCTGTTGGACTTAAGTTGCTGTGACACGACAAGCTGGAAAGAAACTGATTTCATATCTCAGAAACCTTTACCTTCATAAAATGCTTGACCTTTAGGTCAAATCGATTATTCGTTAAACATTGTCAGACTATACTCAAACTTTGAACCTCCCCGAGACACATTCACTCTCGTGTCTACGAGTCCTGAACAATGATTTCTATGACATTTATTGATTTGATAAACTTGTTAAACTGCAGGGCGTGTTGGGGGCTTTCTTGAAAAAAATCAATTTGTTGTTCAACTATGGAATGCCATTTCATTCAATATTAAATAATTACATGAATAAATAGGGCTATGAAATAAATAAATAAGACAATAAATATATACTGTAAATATAAGTACATAAATGAGTCAATGTAGTTCAATATATTACTACGTCTTTGTTTAAAAAAGGAAATTTATAAAGGACTACTTTTATTTATTTATTTATTTCAGGAGACTTATTTCGCTATATTCAAACGAATGGGACGTGGTTCTCTCATCGAGTCAGATCAAAGCACAATAATTAGTTTAATGTTTTTCTCAAAGCATCACTTTCAGATGAAAAAAAACTCTAAAAACCCACCGTGCACTACCTGCTCAGCACCATATAACAGACATACAATGTTAGTGACTAGCTGGTGAACACAGTGGAGCATTTAGCAGCTGAAGAGAAAGAGATTTCCCTCAGAAGATGGTGGAGACCAAAAGCAGAGCTAAAAGAGAGTGAATATTGGACCGACATTCATCAGATGACCATGAACATGACTTCACATGAATGATAATGTCTGGAACTTCTGGATGTGTAAATAAGCGACTGTTTGCTAACAATTAAAAATCACAGCACAAACAAATGACTCGGCTATTACTGTGGGAGAAAGGTGATGACTAACCGTACGTGACGATGAGGAGGTTGAAGGGTCTGTTTCGGAGAAGCCTCAGAATGGAGGCGGTGTAGGAGTAGTGCTCTGGCGGGATGCTACGAGCGGTGGCCTGGGCCTGAGTCGGAGGAAGTTTAGGACGCTCCTGGAAGACTGACGGAGAGACCAAAACCAATGTTTAATGCAGTGAACACACATAACAGCAGCTGCAAACGCTAAACTCAGGCATATAAATGATTAATGCCTTCGGAGCCTCTTCATTCCTTTGGCACCCTCGTCATTACAAGCTCATGTTGTTCTCATGGACTCTGTTCAAACCTAAAGAGCTTTAGTTCAAATTATAGATTTATTTTCACTTTGGAGCCACAAAAGGGCAAATTCTAGAAAAGGGGAATATTGGGTACATTAAGGTTACTGTTGGACATCATGTTTCTCCACTTTACACAAGGAAAGAAGGGTACAAACTGAATGTGAGAGGGACATGGAGCCCAGCATTGGAACAGGACACATTCAGAAACGGCCGGACAGGTCCAGATACGTACAAGCTCAACACACCATCTTTTGGGGGCGACAACTGTGACGACGTGACCCGTTTCCGTTTTTCTGCTGCCTTCGGGCGTCATGAGGAAATACAGATGTCCGTCTTTGTGGTTCTTGGAGCTGAAACCAGCCGTTTCAAAATCAGACTTGACAGTTTGTGTTCATGTCCAGGTCTCACTAATCCTTTGAGACAAACCGACTCTTTGGCTAATTAATGATCTCAGCTACATCTTACTACACGTCGTTGTAATTTAAAAGAAAGAAGAAAGAAGTTTTATTCAAATACTGTACATTTCTTTGAATTGTTTGTGCATGCTAATTTTTCTTTACCACCCCCCGGTACTTCCCCTTATTCAGTCAACCAGATCCACTCATATATCTTTCTATGTGGTGAACTTTGGCTGGCAATTCGTTTAGAGGAAGATAGCAGCCAAAACGTCTTCTCTCTCCACACTTTGCACACACTTGCAAATCTCTGAATCCTGGGACTTTGTCTGCCCTGCTGACTCACAGGCCTGTTGCAGGCTCACAGATGGCCCTGCCAGCAGGACAACCCTCACACATGGCATCTTGCATGCATGCGTGAGGGTGCGCTATGTGTGCGAGTATATGCGTCATATCATGAAACCACTGTGGCCAACTGGTGACAATTATCGCGCTGGAGTAACTAAGAGAAGCAAAAGTCACATCCATTTGCCCAATAGAATCTATCGCATGACCAAAAGTGGGTGTATTTAAAATATCCATCGGTCTTTCTCTTGAAACAAACAACACTGACATGCTGTACGTGGTGCCACTATGGAATTCCTTCACAAGCATGCTTTTGTGTTTCTGAACGCTTACGAGCGCAGCCTCCCTCCCCCTGTCCCGGCAGGACAACAGCTTTTTCATGAAACTTGTTTCTCCTCTCTTACAACTACCCAGCCTACTGTTCTCTATAGAAGAGCACTACATACTTACAACCTCCTTTGTAATTGCATTCTGCAGAGACATTTGATTATTCTACATGCAGGCCAGATTGTTAAAAGAGGATAATCTGAGCCCTGGAGGTACTGGTCCCGAACATTGAATGAAAATTCTTTGATTGATGCAATTAGTCTGTTTTTATGGTGTTTTTAATTTTTGCTGTTTTGTTTTTTTTAAGTCTGTTATCTGTGTTATGATGTGGTAAAACTTTTACGATGCCATCTTGGACAGGACACCCTTGATGAAACCTCTCAATGAGATAATCCCGGTTGAATAAAGGTTACATAAACATAAAAATAAATAAATAATTCTGACTAAACTCCCTCCCTATGATTCTAGTCTTCAATGAGAACAGACAGAAAAACAAGTGTGATTTTCAACACGTGAGGTGCTAAATGGGCAATTAAAACTATAAACTCTGAGGGAATCGTTGGAAAAAAAACCAAAGAGGGTCAAAGTTCATTGGCAGCAGATATAAAGCAGACAAGAACTCAGCATTTTTCCAAACAACTCACATCCTGCTCGTCACGTCTGTCAAGTTCCTTTTACCAGAAAATGTCATTTTGTGATCACAGATCCTCCATTTCTAATATATCTAAAACAAACATATACTTGACAAAATAATATCCCGTTCAGTATGCTGAAGCACTCACTTTTGTGCCTGTTCCCGAGACATTGCTCCTGTCCTTACTTGTACCACAATAGTAACTATTTTGTGAATTTCCCCTTCAGGGAGGGCTTTGTGTTGGCGCGACCATGCAAGTCAGCACTTTTCTTGTCCCCTGAATGGTGCTTTTTGTCACAGTGGAAGTCTGCTGTAAATTAAAACCATCATGAGGAGGATCCACTGAATAAGAAAATCCCACTGGCCTGAGCGAAAGAAGGCCCAGACAAAGCACATGAAAAAGTCTGAGTATATTTCTGAGGGATGGGATGATGTCATCTTTGACTTCATTCGTTTCACTCACTTGACTGCTTCACTGACCATCTCGCCTCTCTATCCATTCCCAACAACAAATCTGCGGTTACACGGTGCCGTAAAATCACTTTTAAAAATAGCATTTAAATCCAGTTAATCTAGAGTTTATGTAAATCCAAAAACTGAAACTATTCATGGTGTCTAGCCGTGCAGAAAGTTGCAGTCTTATCTGCAGAGGGTTTAAGATATCCGGCGCTGTCTGCATGGCTAGAGAACACTGGAAGGAAGTATGTAATAAAACACTAGTTTTGTAATGTGGACAAAGCCTTTATGCGCTACATGACAAATCTTACCACAGACAACAAGGATGAAGAGTAAGGTAGCCACTCCTGCTGTGATGTAGAACATGATGCTGATGTGGTGAGCCAGCTCGTCCATGTCGTCCACGTTAGGCACCAGGATGGGTGGAACAAGGAACCCGATGGCAATACCCAGCTAGAAGACAATCAACACATACAACATGAATTAAAGACAAACAGTTTGGAGGTGACCACACATTATTGTTTCATAAGTAATATCAAATCAAGGATGCCTTAATGCCATGTTTTCTATATATCACACAGTGACTGAGTGGTACCACAACATGTATTTAGGGGCTATTATTGCTTGTTTTGACAACAATTCAAGTCATTATTTGGTTTAACTATACATTTAATAACTTTATGACCCAATTGGTCTTAAAAAGGTAGCTGGGAGCAGTATGAATTTAACAATCAACTGATATCCTCTCAAGCTCTGCTACAACTCATCTGAAACTTGCTTGTGCAGGTTATTTAATTGTCAGTCCTCTCATGAAACATACCGCATGAGACTGCCAACAAAAAACAACTTTGAATACATGTTGTCTTATAACTACCAAATCAGGTGGCTTTATGTTGCAACAGCATCTATGTCATCTGAATAATTCAACGCAGAACTTCACAATTGTGAAAGTGTTTTTACATTTAAACAGCTAAAAAAAAAAAAAAAAAGTGCGGGGAGGTTTCAGCAAACAGTTCACACAATTTTCTCTGGACTCTCGCACCAAGACACTAGAAGTCCTATGTGACTCTGGCATCCAGCAGAGCTGCATAATCTACAGACAGCTGCCTCACTATGTCGACCCTGCTTTTAAATGAGACATTCAGACAGACCTGGTTTCCCACAACTCCGATGGAACAAGCCGTGGAAACCTCTTTCTCTCCAAACCACACTGAGGCGAGGTAAGAAGGAATACCAAGGACGAACACGGTACCCACTGAGCACACAAACTGGCCAAAAAAGGTGACTGGGAACAGATTGGGACCGGCACTACCAATCTTAATCCAAGCACCAATGCAGTTAAAGGCCGACCCAACTAGGACAACTTCCCGGATTCCCCTGTTCTCCAGTAGCCACAAGACGGGCACAATGAGCGGAATGTAAGTGAGCAGGTAGATCATGGACAGCCAGTCGATGGCCAGTGAGTCAATGCTGTAGAAGCGCATGAATATGTTGCGAATAATGCCGTACTGAAGCCACATGAAGGCATTGCTGGCTGAGACGGCGCTGAAGAGAAACAGCATGAACCAGCGACGGTGGTAAAGTTTGGTCTCAGCCTTGGGGACCAGCTCTGCCCGGTCACTCTGCACAGTCTCGACGCCAATGGAGATGGCTCGGCCCAAAGGTCCTGGAGTCCACTGCATTGAAGCAAGGCCCGGAGCGGGATTCTTTGCAGCCTTGGACCACGGCCATTCTTCACCACCGAGTTCAGAATTTGCATGGTTGTCTTTCAAAGTATTGTTTTGTGGCATTTTGACTGTCCTAAAGTGGGCCCCTGGAGCGTGAGAGGTGAGAGTTCTGGAGATTTCGGCGCTTGTGTCCTAACAGCTTGCTGCCCAGCGAGCAAACTGCCTGTAGTTGAAATATGTTGTTTTCTCAGAGAGCGAGCACAGCTGGAGTTACTATTGTCCTGATCCACAACTCAACTGCATGTGATGGCATTGAGCCTCTACACCACATGTCCACATATTTATCACCTTCAGTCCCATCATGTGATGTTAATGTAGGAAATCTTCCAATTACACTCAGACCTGGTGTTACCTCTGTTTACTGTTCGATTCACAAAAAAACAGACACATTTATCTGTTGAACTTTAAATAACTAATTTGAAGGATTTTGTGGTTCTAACAAGAGGTTTAAGTTTCCAAGTCTTTGTTATTGATCACCTATGGATCTCTGTACTGTTGAGGATAACACCTAGAGTATTTCTTTCCGCCAATTATTTTGTACGCATGCCGTTTAAAATGTAGAATTTAACTTTTTAGTGTAATGTCTTTGAGGTATGACTTACTTGCACTTATATTATTTCATAAAGACAATTGAAGAGACTAATATGATGACGTGCTGATATAAAGGCAGTAAGGATGCAATAAAATAACCTGCGACACAACCAAACTGAGGCCTCTTTGTTCGGATGCACGATATCTAGTCCGGTCAATTATTATCAAGTCCTTGAAAATTGTTTGTCACGCACAAATGACAGGAGACAAGTAAAGTACATTTTATTTGTATAGCGCCAAATCAAGTCGAAACTGTATTCTTTAATACATCTTGGAAAAAGTTTCTGATGTTAAGAAAATGAGCTCCGATACCTCCAAGTATTCTGGCTGTCTGAAGGTGTCCGTGAATAGTATGAAGGAAAATGTATCAAGGCGGTTTTGATAAACCGGTCTGAAGACCAAAGCCTTGAATACACAAAGATCACAAGTAGAAACCGGAGGATTTGTTGTTGACAACATGCTTATTAGATGTCCATCAGAAAGCCCACAAATTGCTCTTACTTTTTAAAACTACATCCAAAACCCCAGTTTGTGCTCTGGGTTACACACAGCTAATTATCCACTTAGCGATGACTTCTCAGTGACATTTTACTTGGAGTTGTAAGTTGACTCAAGTGTTGTTTGTTTGGTGTTAAATATGATGCTTGAGAGCTCACAATAACAGCGGCACACGATGCTGCTCTTTGCACTCCTGTCTGCTTTTTTGGCTGCTCGTGTGGATTTAAAAAGTGCCCTGCTGCCTCTAATTAAGCAGAAATACACAACAACAGTTACTATTCTGTATGTGGATACAGTGGAAATAAGTCAAATTAGCAGATAACCCTCACAAGTCACAGTCAGCGATCCAGAAAACAGTTTCCACAGGTAATGTCCTACCGCACTGCGTGTTTAACATGGATAAACTGCACCAAGTTCAGCCATACTGGTCAGTTTTTGGACATATTACAAGATTCTGCCCTCCTTTTTTGCTATTACACAACATGTGTGGAGCAGCCTTGCCAGAGGGACCTGGGGGCCTCCGGATCGGCTCACATCTTAAAGACATACCTTTTCAATCAAATTAGATTATTCCCTTGCTGCTTTTTAACTCCCACTATGATATTGGTGTTTTACACACATTTGGATCCTTTATTAGTTTGTTTCTTACAGACATCTTGTTTACATCTAGGTTTTCCTTTTTTTCGTACCCTTTCCTCGGTCACTATTTTCACCATGAATGAGGGCAAGTAGATAAAGGTTAGACCACCTGAGGACAGGCTTGAAAGAGAGGTTGTTCCTGAGCCTTTTCATCCTGTGTTTAATGCTGGTAAATGATAAGTGACTGTGAATTGACTTAGTTGTATGTGCGGATAGATGTTTAATGTGTGTATAGCATTAGATAAACTGTTTTATCTTCATCTCTCACTGTTACAATTACAATATCTTCATGAAAAGGTATAATTGAATCAAGGTGCACACTGGTTGTCACTTCTTGCATGCTGGTTCACTGCTTGCCACTCATTCTCTCACATTCTAAGCAAGCAATGTTGTGGCTTGAACGCATTGGGCACCTGAACGTGCGTAATTACGCAAACGTTCCAAATATATCTGGAATTGTCCGCCTGATCGCTGGTTAATGGGGCTATTGCATAACGTTTAATACGTGATCAAGTAGGTGAAGAGATATCTTGGCCTATTTACTGACTCAGCCTTACCTGATTCCCGAATACTCCGATGGAGCAGGCGGTGGACACTTCCTCTGAACCGAACCACACTGACGCGATTCTCGACGGCATCCCGAGGATGAACACCTGCGCGAAGGAGCAGGACAGCTGTCCCAGAAAGGTGACAGCGAACAGGTTGGGTTTGACGCTGGCCACTTTGATCCATGTGCCTGCACAGTTGAGCGCAGTGGCCACCAGCGCGATGACCCGGAGCCCCTTTTTGTCCAGCAGCCAGGTCACCGGGAAGATGAAGGGAATGTATGTCAGCATGTAGATCATAGACATCCAGTCTATGGTGAAGGCGTCCACGTTGTAGAACTTCATGAAAATGTTGTTGATGATGCCGTACTGTATCCATTGGAAGGAGTTGCACAGTGAATATGAGCTGAACAGGACGACAATCATCCAGCGCCGTTTGTACAGGCGGGTGGGTTGCAGCGCTTCGCCGCCGGGTTGCAGCGCTTCGCGGCCGTCTAGCTGACTCGGATTGTCGGCGCGCGGAGCGGCGTCACCCGCCTCCAGCTTGACATGGTTCTCCAAGTCCGTCTTGGATTGATCCGCGTCAAGTGCAGCGTCTCCTAACGGCACCGCTTGTTCCTCGCTCATATTAACGCAGTCTGCTAAATATACTCATGGAGTATAAACTTCCCACTCAACTACTGTGGGGTTGAGTGGAACAAACGCAACACAACAAACGTAACAGAAAGTGGCTGAAATTCGCCCTGTTTCATGGGTAAATACTTTCCGATCTGTTAACAGGCCTACAACTTCATGTTTCCTTATTAAAGAAGAAGTTCAAACTAAATCATAGGCTGTTTCAAATCTCCAGAATACGTATTAAGCAAGTAGGGAGGGCTCTACAACTTCCAGTTTGAGCGGCATTTCCTCCCCGGTTTGAAGTTAGTTCCGTAGTCGGATTTGCGACCGAAGCCTGTGAAAGTTCAATAAATTAGAGTGACAGAGAAATAATAATTATGATTCTTTCAGTAAGGAGCTTCCGTGTATTCACACGTGTCAACTCTCCACCCGGACTTAGAACTACTTTGGCATTGAACAAATCGGTCAAATAAGGGCGGAGTTTCAAAACCTGTTCTCTGCGGTATCTAAGCAGCCTGCAACACTGAGATAATTCACATATTCACACCCTGTAACGGACTTCAACGTCGGCCAGTTCTTCTGAGATATAAACTCTGTAGTGGAATTTCTAAGACACCCCCCTTATTATTATTATTATTATCACAACTACTTCCAAGTTTAAAACAAAATGCACATATTAAGTTATTTATTTCGCCCACTTGCCGAATAATTATGGAATTATTACAAAAAAAAGGCGAATGCCATGAAAGCCTGAGTTGTGTTCAAGGACAAAACTTAATTCTGACCCACTCAGGGCAAAATGAAAAGTTTATTTTTGTGCTTAATGTGGGCTACTTCAACTGTTGGTGAACAGTGCCATCTAGGGATTCCCTCATCAGAGAAATAAAACATGAAGGTGGATTGTCAAGTGTCCCCTGTTATCAAACCCCAGTGCAGACTTTAATCACTCTGCTGTCCAGACAAAGACAAAACACTGCACGGAGGCATGAATAACAAACGTGGAGGTCAGAAATGATCACCTAAAAGGCACCACATTTAATAAATATATTTTGCTGGGTCTTCTCCCACATCAGCGTTGTCACCAGTACACACGTCGAGACCCATAGAATGCCCATCCTCCACTGGACAGACGTTTCTTTTTTGGTACATCGACTTTACATTCTCTTTGTCCACAATCAAATCTGTCAAAATCTCCTGAGCATCATCGATCTACATTTACACAATGAAACACATTCATAAACACGAGAAAGTAAAACATGACAGGATGACAAAAGGTGCTCTCCATGACACTAAAAATGTACAAAAACACTGTACCGCCTGAGTCACCTGAACAAACAGTAGGTTGTTCATTTTCTCCCAATGTAAACATGGACTGGCTCATAACTCTACCCATCGAGCCATTTAAGTTCACATACATATCACTGATATTAATCAGGGGAAAGCAAAGACATGAGCACAAGCAAAATAAATAGTTTTGAACACTGTTTGTGACAGTTTGGTGTCCATACTGTCATTGTTTGGCGGACACACCTGCTGGTCATGTCAATATTCATGTTTTAGAACAATGATTAACGTTTATAGACACATTTCCAGTCAGTCTTTCTCTCCACTGAGGTCAGTCGTCAGTTCGCAGCACGTCCTCGGCCGCCTCGGTAGTCGATCAGGTCAGTGCTGGTAGTGTGGCACAGTGATGTGCTGGTGGTGGTAGCTGCTGTGATGAGGAGGGTAGAGGAGGTCGGGGGTCTGAGGAGTCAGGCCGCTGCACAGAGGTTCGTGGCTGCTCAGCATGGTGGTCAGATACTTGGCCTCCTCTGTCAGCTGCTTCACCTCCTTCCTCAGGGCAGCGTTCTCCTTCTCCAGGTTCTCACTCTCCTGCAAGCACACAGGGACACAATGTTTGTTTATTAGTGATACAAGGGGTGTTACTGTGAGGTTAAGTGTGCGAATGACATAAAAGCAGTATTATATCCTATATATTTTAATGCTTTAACCACAAATTAAAGTATATTTGACCCCTAAACATATTAATCTATTTAAATGTATTTGCTGTATGAATGGCAATGTCTGTCTGTGGGTTGGTCCACAGCTTCGGTCCAGACTGATATAGATTAACAGAGGTTGAATCCTAGACTTTGATGATCCCCTGACTTTTAATCTTGCACCATAATGAAGCTGACATTTGTGGTTTCGGGGTAAATTTCGCCACAGTAACTTCTAACTTGTATTAACTTTGGTGATCCTCTGACTTTTTCGTCTAGTTCCATCTTCTGGCCAAAGTTTGAATCTGTGCAACATGTTTGTTTGGGATCAAATACCTGCAAAACGAATGCCTTTCTCATCAGCTTCAGCTGTGCTTAGTGTTCACTAGCAAACACGATCATGCTGGTGAACGTTATAAACTATGAATGATAAGCGTTAGCATCTTAGCATTGCCATTGTAAGCATTGTTAAGCACGCTGGCTTTAGTCCTTGACTCAAAGCGCCACTGTTCTTTAGACATGTGTTCAATATGAGTCTATCACAAGCAAATTCTGCACATTTTTATATTTTGCACACATGCTACTTGAAGACTAACCATGCTTGGAAAAATGTTGTTCAAGAGTAAATAAAACATGTGTTGTCTTTTGAAAATATTTGCAAGTAAAATGGGCTAAAATGTACTTTTAAATTGGCTAAAACATTTTATCTTTTTATTTGTCCAGTTACCTTAAAACCAGCAGGTAACGCAGTTGAAACAGGCCCTTTACACAGCAGATATTTGTACATGTCATAGCAGGGTAAACACAGGTGTAAGTGAAAAAATTAATTATCGTCCAATTCTATTTCTACAGCAAGTCAGGTAGCACAGTACCAGGACGCTGCCCACCTTAATGGAACAGGGCCATAATGTTATTAATTACACCTGTGGTTATCCTGCAATTACTTGACACAATGGCCCATTATATATTGTTGCTTTGCATTACCAGAAAAACAATACCATAACTTAATTAATAAAAGTATTTTCACTGTCGTAGTGGAACGTTGAACTTTTACGTCTATTCGACGTCTTTTTATTTCCATACTGAAATGATTGAAGACCAAAAGTCTACAGCATGCCTAACTTTTCCTGAGCTACTTTATTGTAATGTAAAGTAAAACAACGTTATAAAAGTGCTTCAACACCAACACTATGAAGACTGATTCAGACAGAAACTGCCTGCAGCTCACAAAGCAAAACAATCTTAAACGTTAGATGACGAAAGTACATTTTCCAAAACAAGCTCTCATGGCAATCATAAAAGTAGAGCAAAACTGTGCATGCGAGAAAGAAAAACTTTTTGGCGTGGGTATAGCAGGGGGGAAGAAACCTTCCACTTGGTGAATGAAAAGGTCAAACCATGGCCGAAAGATTATAATGCTGAGCTGTGGGTCCTTACTGTCACAGCACCTCTGGGCAAACCCCATACTTGCGTCACTTAGCCAAATACAGCCCACTGCTATCAGAGCTTTACAAGAAGTGACTGCCTTTTTCTCCCCTCCTGCCCACGATATACAATTTACACAGAAGAAAAAAATACTACCGAAGAAACAGGAAATAAGCCACGGTGTCATAGAGAGGGAAAATTCGCCTTCCTGTTTATCTAGTGAGACGATGACAGCAAAACCACAGAAATGTGTTCTGTGTTCTGTGGTCCCCTGGTGCTCTCTGCGACTGACATGCTTTAAAAGTAGGTTGATGTTATACACTTCACCGGGGGTTCTCACATATTCAGAGCTCCGTATTTATTAGTGTGGGTCTTCTGAAGGTCAAAACCTGGTCATGGTGACAGAGTAAAGTACAACACAAATCAAATGGGCTTAAACTTGAACAAGGAAGTCACACAGATAGTGGACAGGTAGTCAGCATGTTGCAATAAATATGCACTGGTGTGACAGCATGTAGAGCTATTGCAGGTTATAAAGGAAATCAGAAGATAGTTGCATCATTAGCTGAGAGGTCATTGTGTTTCGTAGACCTGCTGCACACACAAGTAAAAGAAGATCTGAGAAATGCCTGCACTCTTTTTGATGTTTTCGTTCAATAAAAGACTCGTCGTGTGAAGAGTCAAAATGAGTAAAAGCTGAAACGACACTGACCACCGACTATCACGCGAAAAAAACGAGCTGCACAAAACGAATAATGGGGGCAACAGACAAAGTGTCCGGCCCGAACACCCTTCTGCTATCATATTCAGCGCTGCAATCTCTGGTGCTGGATTCTGCTGCAGAAACGGAGTGATTGCCCACACGTGCTAATTTATTCCTTAAGCTTCTGCAAACACACAGAGCAGCGTCCAAGTGGGCAGCCCAACAGAAGCCATGACACATCGCCACATGGTCAGGTAGCGTTTCGTAAATATAGTACTAAGTCATTCTCAGAGGCCGTTGGATCGATTGATCGGCTGGCTGCAGAAACATCACTACCCTATACAGTATTTTGGAAGGTAACCCTAACTAATGCTGCTAAACATCCTTCAGTATATAGTATGATTTGTATCCAGCGTTGCAGTGCAATAAAGCTATGGCAAAACAATGGCTTTTTGCATTAACACCATGTAATAACTTCTGTTCTTTTGCTTGTGCCTCTGTGGCAAATGTCTTAATAAGTAGAAGTCAGTGTTAAACCGTGTTGCTTTTGAGTAAGAGTATGATGTATATATCGCAGAGAGAAGCCTCCTCACCAAGTGCAGGGTGTCAGCTTTCTGAGTTTGCCTCATCCTGCTCTTCTGAGCAGCGATCCGGTTCTTCTCTCGCCGCATCACCTTCTTCGCGTCATCCGAGGAGCTCTGACAAAACACAAATGTCGACGGTTAATTTGTGTGCGGTGACAGAAACATCAAGTGGCACAACTGAGAGGGAGAGAGATGCTCCTGAACCTTGAGAAAGTGAAGATCAGACTGATCATGTCACTGCCTGTTGCCGGTGGGGTTCATGTGTGAAATAGAGGCGTTCTCTATTTCAATGGCAGTTTGACAGAAGACAGGCCAAACTTTACACCTAATGTGAAGGGCAGGGTCGGGGAGAGGCTGAGTCATCGCTTAGGTATAACGCACACCCTGTTTCGTGTCCTGAACACTCGATTTTCTTGGTATCATAATAACTAATCCCTTTCAAAATACTGAGTCAGTTGTACATCAAAGAGGTTCCAATTTCATTATCTAACGTCTTCTGAATTGTCCGTTAAAGCCTTGCTGGAAGAAAAACCCCAAAACAACTGATGCTTCAGAGGATTCCTTTATCCACATACAAGTGAGGCTCCCAGCTTCTAACTTGTGTAAAAAAAAAACAAAAAAAAAACCGTTTTATTTCCACAATGCTAGAGCAAGAGAATGAGCAGCAGTGTGCACGAGACTGGCACATGTGGAACAAGCCTCGCGTGCAGAGGAACCTACAGTAATAATACAGTGTTTAACACGCTGTCTGTTCCCGACAGCTCTCCCCATCATTCACGGTTTGAGAGACTTGCTAAAACAAAGGATTCCCACAACTTGGGCGAGTGATACATTTTGCAATTCACAAAAGCCTACACTTGAGGCGAGTCATGGCTGCAGCCCATGTGTGCATGTGAAACCTTTTCTGAGAAACTGTGAAAAGAGCTAACAAAGACAGAAGAACTAGGCTGTGCTGTTGCCCACTAAATATGTATCACACACTGCATCCAGTCACACATTTAGGAGAAATACGTCGCGTTTAATCTGTAGATCTTCGGTGTAAAGAGGATGTAAACAAGTAAACGTGGGTACATTATTGAGAAAGTAGATGGAAGAGCACACTTACCGGCCTGCTTCCAGGTGATGGGGACTTGTAACTTGTGTCATTGCTGTCAGAGCCCTGAGCCATAGCCAACCGCGGCGACTGAAACTGTGTGTCTTTCTCCACTTCTGCTTTGTATTTAGTGTGTGTGTGTTTTGTGTGTGTGTGTGAGAGAGAGAGAGAGAGAGAGAGAGAGAGAGAGAGTCTGTGTAGCAGAACGAGTGCTGAGAAGAACTTGGCTTAATGAGTCTCTTTCTTCCCTCTTTTCTTTCCCTTTCTGTCACTCCTCCTTCTCTTTCACTCTCTCGCTCATGCTCTCTCACTTTATCTCTCTCTCTCTCTCTCTCTCTCTCTCTCTCTCTCTGACACACACACTGTGAGACTGTAGCTGTCTGCCTAATTAGCTCTATCTGATGTGGCTTCTGGTAAGAATCTGGGTAAGTTGCATTAGACTGGAAGTCACATGTCTGATGGAAAGTCAAAGCACATAAGGTCATCTTGTAAACTCCAGAAAAAAAACATTGGGGGTTAGAGTTACATTTTAAATACATATGAGGTGGATATTACCAGTTTCAGAAAAAGGTTTTAATGTCAAAATAAATTGTATTTATAACTTCATGTTTGGTAGCAGCAGAATCTAAATAAAACGTTCTCCTAAAAGACCTGATATTGACCTAACTGCAACTTTTTCTTCGCTTGTGATTAAGGGTGTTAGACATCGTGGGCATTCCCTCTTCCTCTTTTCTTTTTTCTTTTAGCAGCCACAAATGATATGTTTCGACCAAATCCTCAAGAGACGAGCACATCCTAAAACTCCAAATGGATGACTGAGTTGTGAATATTTACACACACTTCATGGTAATTTCCAGAAGTGCACCATGCTTTTTGCTCGCCACGCGCACAGCTGCAATAAGGTGAGGCTGTGTCGAGGGCTCGGGGCGCCCGAAAACCCCACCTATAGAATTCCCTCCTCATCTTTCGCTTTAAACGTCTCTGTGAAGTATAAGTGTAGAGGTGTGGGGAATCTTCCAGAAAATGTACAGTTTGAGGAGGTTTAATAGGCGAAGCTGCATATGTGATTACTTGTATTATTTTCTTGTTTACTCTCATCACGAGGTAGCATTTGGTGATGCAAGAACAAGATTTTCTTGTTAGCAAAAAAAAAAAAGAATCAGGACCAAAACAGCTTTACTTGGCAGAACAGCCCTCCCACACAAAAACATGTTCTACCATCACAGGAATTTTGAAGAGCTTGGGCACGGCCAGACATTTCTAATACTTGGCATTTAACGCCGTCCAAAAGAGTTGAGGCTGTAAAAAGAAAAGAAAGAGGAGACAAGCTGATTAGTCAAATTCTGCTTAAACCAGGGCACAGACACAATACGGCACAAATATAGAAAAGCAAAACCAGCCTATGGCTTTGGCTTCGTTTATTTCTGAACCTTAAATGATCATAAGGTGCTAGGGATGGTCTTGAGCGCCTCAGAAACTACATTCAATAAACCGTAAAAACCTCATAAACGTTGAGTGATCATTTCAAAACATGTAAAGAAGTATGTTTTTATCTATTCATTTCTTTATTAGAATTATGACGCTTTTCATTTGTGAGCTATTCCATCTGGAGATTATTGAAACACAGAGGGCTTTTTGTTCCTTTTTTAAATCAGGAGCTCAATCAAGCCCTTCGAGGCAGCGAGAACTCACAAAACAGGCTGGATAGCAGCTTATCAAGCGGAATTCCAGCTCGTTACGCTCACTCAAACAACATCCATCCTGAGTAAAATTTAGTAGAGGCGACGCCTCATAAATACAGTGCAAATTAACACTAGCAACTGTCAACAGCAGTCTCTCTTCTTCTTCTTCTTCTTCTTCTTCTTCTTCTTCTTCTTCTTCTTCAGGCCCTGCTTACTTGGAAAAACCCCCGATGGGCCATTTATTGAGATAGCAAACTGCGATGCCCTCATTTGTGGTGTCTCTTCTTTGGAAATGACTGTGGGAGGTTTCTAATAAGCACCAAATTATTGAGGGAAAGTGAAGAATCATGAAGACGTTGATGACCGTAAAAATAACACTGGTACCCTACACATGTTGTGAGTTAATTTATACAGAACACAGTTTTCACTTCAAAACAAAGGTCATCTATGAGTCAGTGAAGTCCAGTCTGTAAAAAGTTGCCTTTTTTTTTTCCAAATCTGCATATTTGCAAGCTCTAACCCGGAGATATACATGTACTGCAGCTTTAAGTATTATGCTGACATAAATTTACTTTAATCCAATTGTGGATACATATTTTGGTTACTTTGCAAACAAAAACTGTAATAATGTTTAATATATTGCCCTGGGAAAGTTTAAATGTCACCTGTTTGTCAATTAACAAAATAATAAGTCTCTCTGTTTGGCGGTACATTTCCACCCTTAGTGGTTAGGATTACTTTAGGCTTTTCTTTGTTTGAAAATGAACATTTACTCAAGTTATTCCACAATGTTGTTTGCATCTGTTTGAGGCATCTCTTCCTCAATAACTGTATTTTTGGTCCACAAATGATCCATTTTATAATGTGTAACTCTGTCGCAAATAAAGACGGCCTTCGGGGAAGACAATTCCTAAAAATCATAGATTAAGATCAAGGTTCTGATAGCCCCAGCTGCTGGTAACTAACACCGGAAAGTTAAATTTGATTATGTTCAAGGGAAGGCAGCAGGGACAAGCACATTGCCTGTTATGGTGCCACATTAGTTACATGCACCATCGACATTAAAGCACTGAGAAAGCCTGAAGTGTGGTGTGCTTTCGACTTACAGTATATTTAAACTGACGGTTTGATTAAAATCCTCCTTTAGTAGTTTAGCGGCACCTACCTCAGTATTCAGTGTGGTTGATGTAGTTGCATGTGTCCTCCAGGGGGAGGCGGTGTCTGTGAGGGGTTTTCATGTGAATAAGGAGATAAAGAAACAACGATGAAGCTGCTGTGTGCTGTAAATGTACAATGTAGTGTGTATGTGTGTAAAAGGTAGTTCGTAGATGTGTCAAAAAGACTGGGTCCCGCTGTATTACTCAGGCTGCACTACAGCGTCTATTCACAGGCGCGATCCCACTACTGAGCGGCACGGGGGCTTTGACCTGCTCCGTTTCCGGCCTGGGCCGGTGCACCCCTCCTTAGACGACCTGGTGGTCCCGAGCTCCCCCAGGAGCACCATATCGATACCGAACTTAATGCGGACACCCGATCGGCATAGTGCACTGCAGCTCAGAACTCCTGAGCTCAAACGGTCCGCCAGACTTAGCCTCCCAGCAACTTGGATTACAGGCGCGCGCCACCGCACCCGGCGAGGAACACAGACGTTCACAGGGCTTTTGAGTTGGACTACGGTGACGTCATCACGGAGCACGTTGCAGCGACTTCTCGTGGCGGGAAATAAAACTGCAGCTTCAGAGAGACGAAAGCCATAAACCATCACATATAACCTGAAGATAATGTACTTATTATGCCTCTTTGAATCACATCATCTTTACATATAAAGTCTCATTGTATTGATCTTTATTATGTAACGGGCTGATCTGCATCACAGTTTACCTTCATAACTATCTGTTCACTCTCTGTTGTGCACACAGCAAATCTATGAATCAACCAGAACACACAGCTGGTGTTTTCATTTCAACACAACTGTGTTATTACTTTATAAATTATGTCAGCTAACAAGAATGTGTTTTTGCTTCTTCAACTCCTCTCAACCATCACGTATAAAACAAACTAGGACTAGCAGACCTCTTGTTCCCACAGAATGTTGATGAACGTATTTAATTCCACTTTTACCCCTCCATCTTATTATTATATCTGAATGGACATGTTTGAAAAAAATACAAATCTTGACTTCATAAACGTAAGTCACTTATACATTATATTCATAGAACATGTTTCATCAGTCTGTGTCTGCATCTCATTGTTTACCATCAAATGTTAACAGGGAATCAAATCGTTCAGCTTACTAGAGGGAAATAGGTTCCATGTACTTTTCTTTTTAACTGAAAGTTGTATAGTTTGGTTGCATGTTCTCCGCTTTACTGGCTGCCACCGCATGTGACTTATACCTGATCTCATCCTTTTAGTAGAGCGCAAAACAACTATCCTGACTCGATAACCACTTTATTTATTTATCAGTGGTGAACATCTGCGAGAACCAATATCATGAAGAACACGAGATAAATGACAAGGTGTTTAAAGTTCACTGTGGAGTAATTTAATATTCTGAGACAGCAAAAACCTTTTCATCTTACAAAACAATTCTTTTAAAAATAAACCCAAAGAGTACATTAAAATGAAATGAAACCGTTGAAGAATGAAAAGAATGAAAACCAATAAACACAGATCGGACATTTTCCAAAGCTTCATCATCAGACTTCCGTCAGACTCCCTGGACTTTATTAGCTGTGAGAGAGACAAACAGAAATTAGTACAATATAGATGATAACATTACTTAAATCATAGCTTTTATTAATGAATGAATATTTATTGGGTGAAGCCCCCCTCATACATTAGATGATTTTAAGGGATACTGTTATCAACGAGCTAAACATTTCAACCATGTAGAATTTAGCATTAGCCCATCTGCTCACCTGCTCTGCGTCTTTGTCCACTTCAGGGCGTGTCTCGGAGGCACAGCTGTGGTCGGGTGGTAGAAGGTACATCCAGCTCGTTTGCACTGCGCCGCGAAGCGACAAGGCTGTAGATGAGAGAACCAAAATGAAGAACTGCGACTTAGTGTTTTGTGCAAAAGGTCTCGACCGGAGGACATGAGCGCAAAAGAAATTGCAGCTTTCAAATAAAAGCACTTTAACCAAATCCCACATATATTCAAGTTACCATCACAGATCAGAGCTCCACATCCACACGTTAAAATGTTTTACCTTGGGATGATAAAATGGACAGTCCATCTTCTTGCACTCTGGGAAGAAGCGGCACACACTGGTGGTTTGCACTGGCTGCACGGCTGTAAACACAAAGAGTTTAGAAGTTCACATCCCCGTTATGTTGCTGCTTTACCCGTGGAATCTAAATACACTCTTACAAATCTTAGTTTGCGTCATAGTGGTCTGAACAGCTTGTGCTGAATCACAGATGTAATGAGAGAGTACCTGGCCTGGGCGGAGGAGCAGCAGCTGTGCTTCTTCGGCTCACATGAGTGAAGGGACAGTCCGGCTTGGTGCACCTGGCGTCGTATTTACAATTGGGATGCACAAAAAGGCATTTATCCCCAAACTTGCAAGTGGGAAAAGTCCTTTGGAAGAACAAAAAAAGAAATCATGAAAGAGTGCCGAGCCATAAAAACTCCATTACCGTATCTTCAGTTTAATAACAGAAATACTCACTTGCACTGTGTCGTAGGGTGATGGTACAAACACTCGTCTCCACTTTTACAGACCGGCCAGAACCTGCAGCGCTCCATCACCTTCTGCTTCTTTAAAGAGACGGCACCCTCTTCCCCCATCTCAACGTCCATCATGTCATCTGTCAAAAGATGACAGAATGCCAAGCCTTTACTGAGGCACTTTGTAACAGTGTTTGAAATGTGCGCCAATAAGAAAGTAAATGATTATTATTGCAGTAAAGAATTACGATGACAAAGCCCCCCCCCCACACACACACCTTCTGATGGTGTGACTCTCCCCTGCAGTCTGTGGAGGATGCTGACTTTGGACCCCCTGTTGACGGGGACAGTCGCATCGGTGGCCTTTGAGACCGGTCTCACGCTATCCCAGTCCATCTCACCGTCTGCGAGATTCCCCAGCGGGCTCGGTACCCCGTCTAATGTCACTATGAACTTGGGGCTTGCAGAGTCACCCTTCTCCTTACTAGTGTGAAAATAGAAACGCTCATGTATAAACGAGAAGAGCTGAGAATATACATTCATAACATCTGTGTGTGTGTGTGTGTACCTGGCCTGGACAGTGCGTGGTATAGCAGACTGGACTTCCCCTTTGACCGGAGGTGGATGCTGGATTCTAGTTGTGGATTCTCCCAGCTGCGGCCGGCTCACTATGAAGGAGCGGGTATCAAATGGTTTTGCATCGCTGCCTTCAGCGACCTCAGCAACTAGAAAACCCCAAACGCAGACATCTCAGTCTAATGCATAACGAAAGACAATCCATGAGGCATCTTCTGGGTTATGTATCATTAGTTACTACATTTACATGTTCTCAGTAAAGAAGAGGAACTTTTTATTGTAGCACTTTTCTAAAGATCCCCATAAAAGCAAGACGGCACGCGAAAAAGACTCACCATAGTCACGCTGCTCTCTTCTTTCATTGCTCTCTGCTAAGCCCAACTGGAGGCGAGAAGCTAAAGATCTCACTGGAGCTGGGAGGAAAACATCAGTAGAGTGATCAGTGGAATAAATACAGATTGTTTTTTTTTTTACATTAACTTATTAGTTTAGCTCACTGGGATTCTGGCTTTCGGGTGTCAGATTGTTTAAAGCAGTGCACAGCAACCACGTGCTGCACCAGCTCTACTCTTCACCTACCGGGGGCTCTGGAAGGAGGTAGCTCTGCAGAGGTGTAGGTCTGAACCCTGGGGGTCAGGCTGTGGAGGTGCTCCTGGACCAGCTGGATGGCTGCAGTCATCTCCTCACTGCTGGCCATACGAGTACGAGGTGCAACAGGAACAGTCTGCCTCTGTGGCACTGGGATTAAAAAAGTCAATGTAAGGGATAACGGCGACAACTAAAATGCATAAACTGCAGTAAAATAACAACATTTTCATGGCAACTCATTAAACATACTTTTGGGGTAGGTTGTAGTTTTGGTAATGGAGTCTTGAGCCTCAGAGATGGCCTTCAGTATCAGATTCCTGTTGGCTTGCTTGGCTGGAGGGAGAGTAGGCCTGAAACCATAGACACCACAGTAATGTTAAAGTTCAGCAAAGACTTTCAGCTGTCTGATCATTCAAAAGATCAGTCAGTGCTGGACTGTCACTGAGGTCTTTTATGATCTTTTATGAACTACTGTAAAATATGGATTCCAACTGAATGCAAATACCTTGGACAAATCACATTTGCTACATAATTGTGGTTAACAGTGAATTACAATCCCTGTGGGCCCTCTAATTCAATAAAGTACAACATATAATGTTAGAAAATAGCACACGAGGCGTGAACACTGACTTGCGTTCTGGTTTGGAGGGTAGGGACACTCGACTGGAAGGGCCTCGGCCTCCATAGCCTGTATCCTCCTCTTCCACGTCATCGCTGTCCACGTCTGCTGCTCGGTTCACTCGCACCACCGAACTCGCTACCGGCGCCTTACGCTTCCGTGACAGCTCCTCCTGCTGCTGCTGCTGAACATAGACACAGATCATTGTCATTACGGATCCTAACCTACACCTGTCTGGCACCATGTCCACAGAAATACGCTGAACACGTTAAATCGAATCACAGTACCCTGCTGGATCCGGTTCTGGAGGTTCTGCTGCTTCTGCTGTCCTGCTGCCTGGAGTGAGAGGATCCTTCCGATGGTCGATATGTTTCTGCAGAGCTTAACGATGAAAACTTGCTCTGACCCGGTCTGTAGATTTCAGCTGTGGGTCTACTAGCTGCGCCGCGTGTTCGACCATGGTTGGTGGCTATTTCTACAGGATCCTCGGCGATGAGGTCATCGTCCATCTCTGGCTTGATGTCGATAACGGCATCCAAGGGGAGCGGCTCCATGAGGGGCTTAACCGTGGAGGTAAGTCGAGAGGAACTCTTCTCCAAGCTGCCTCTCCTGGTTACAGACAAAAGGTATACAAGTTTGTGCATTTGCAAGGTCTGTCATGTGTGCCGTTTAAGAAAATGAACCGCAAACATTGTCAGCACATGAGGACAAAAAGGAGAATTCTAGCTTTAGGCACCTGCTTTCATGAGCGGAACTGGACACGCGTGCTTCAGTCCTATCAGAGCGCGAGCTGGACACCGTCAGCACCTTCAACTCCTCCTCTCTGCCGTCCTCGCTTACAGATGCCCGGTTCTTCCCAGCCACAGTATCACCGTCGGACTGGAGCTCATTTCTACTTAGGGATGCGGGCTCTGCAACAACCATGTAGTTCAAGTGGAGGAAGAAAAGTTTTGTGTGAGATGCTAAAACTACAAGCTATCTGCATTTAATAAGTAGCTATCCCATCATGCATTCAACATAGTCTGACTTACCGACTGCAACTGTTCTTAACTTCTCAAGGACACCCTGTAGCCTAAAATCAATAAAAAAAAAAAAAACATGTTAAGGCTAGAACTGGTGGTAATGTTGAGATAAATATACACTAGTCTGTTTTCATCGTACCACACTGTGAATTTAAAAGTGTTGTGTCCAAGGAAAAGGGAGAGATCGTCAGACATCTGTTGAGAGGTTTTCTTGTTCGCAACCATCACCATAATATAGTCAGGAAGCTCTTCGTCTAAATCAGTAAAGAGAGGAAACACAGAGATTACTGCGTGTAATGTGTGATTGGAGTATCGAGATTACCAGGCGTGCATCCCATATTCACTTACCAATATATGCACCGAGCTCCTGAAGCTTGCCCTTGATAGCCGCCTGAAACAGACCAAACGTACAGTGAGATGATATTATCTAGCTAGCTAGCTAGCTAGCTAGCTGCACACATGATGCAGCGCTGATCATTCATGTTAAACCTAACAAGTAGCACTGCGTATCGTTATCATTTAAAGAAGATAAAAAGCAGCTAACACGTCTGTAAACCGGCCTGATGGACATGTTACCAAATGATGTAGCAAACCCTCCACCGGCCTTGAAAATAAACCATACCGTTACCACTCTGCGACTAAGAAATTACGCTAGCATGCTAATATTAGCTAGCAACGCATATGGTATTCAAATCTTAACCGGTCACTAAGTCCGGTTATATGCGTCATATTTAGCAGATAATGTTACTCACTCTTATTTTCTTGCTTATCTCCGTACCAATCTCCATTCTTGTTTTTTAATTAAAGTAAGTAAGTTATAAAATAAGCGACTGATACTCTAGCTTCACTGCTAACCAACAGGGGACAAATGTGACGTGTGGTCAGGAAGCCGAAAAGGGACAAATCAAGGACAAAACTGTCGCGCTTCTTATCTTTTGTATACAGTCTATAATCTATCTATGGCAATATGTTTTAAATAGAAATGAAATAATAATAAAATATGAAACGACAACATATTTGTACTACAGCCACGGAAGCAGATTTAGCTATTTATAAAAATATCCCAACAATTAGATAACAATATACGTCTAAATGCACAAAATGCAATAAATGAAAGAAAACTTGAGAAGTAATGCAAAATACGTATTTATTTATTTTATTTGTATCAACAAGTGCAGTTAGAGGGCAGGTGGGACGTGAGAAAGATCAGATAACAACCAGCGTACAATATCGGACATGTGTGGCTGCTGTTTTCCTCCCTGGTGTCAATACCAAGGTTGTATGTGTGTATAACGTTTTGTGAATGATTTCTATGTGATTGACCAACAGCTTCTAACAATGTTAAACAACAGTTTTGTCAGGATTCTCACTATCCCAATAGGATACAAACCTGTGATAGTTACGGTTAAACAAAGATATGGAGATCAGATGCTGCAATAATCATTTGTGATGTGTTGGTAGTTGCACTGTGCAGTGATACTAAATGAAACGAGCAGAGAGTTAAGCAAACATAAAGACTATTTCATATCTGAGTGCTGTGTCCACAAGATGGCGGAAGAGACCATCAATAACAATCTGTGATATTTCCCCCCTCATGAGGACATGTCATATTCCACACATGGATGACTTACTCCAATAAACAATGATCAAAACTAATTCAGAAACCTGACACTGGTATCCCTGACAGACCATTCAAATGTAAATTTAATCATATTTTGAAAAAAAAGATTGGTATTTAAAATACAGATTCAAAAGATTAAGGTTTAAATATTAGTCTTAATTCTGTAAACTATCAGACTAATCATAGACGTTGTACCTCATCTTGGACAATCTAAAAACATTCTGGGGGTGCAAGTTCAAGAAATGTATGTTGCAGCAAGTTATAGTGAAGAAAAGAAAAAGTATGTGAAACAAACTTTGTTAAAAACACTCATGTCAGTGTTAGAATTTAAATTCACTTTAGCTTAAAATGATGTTAAAATGCTGGATTCTGTGGCACGTGTCTTTGACTTTCTAATGCTCATAAGCTGTATGTTTTCCTCAGATATTATTTCCTGTTTTGCAGCCCTTCAATGCCAACCAACAATGACGGGAAGGATCTTGCTCGCCGTCTAGACGAGCGTCTAACACTCTCAGCCACGGCCGTCTGCTCCGTCTCTCCGTCTGCTTTGTTCACACTGTGTGTTGCACAAATTGTTTAATGTGTAGAAACAACAACTTTGTTCAATTTTTTCCCACAATCACGTTATATAAGAACCGACGTTGACCCCTCATAATATTCCTGTTTATACTTATTGTGTATTTCTAATCTCATTATGTGTAGCATTCACATAAATGTGGGTGGTCCAGTACACTTGTGCTACAACAGAGTTTTATATCTGTATGAGAATTTACTGTTTGGATAGAACCATGATGGGTGTGGCACAGTGTGGCTGTTTGGTCTCAAGTTTTGTCAACCTTTTCCAGTCTTGCTTCAGAAGTTCAAGTCACACTACGGTAATGAATACAGCATTGATTCCCTTGAGGATGACCGAACACGGTTATTCGTGAAAACAAAGTGTTTATTGGACCAACACTTTCAGGTCATTCTCATAAATCACCAGAAAATCATCACCTAGATAATTTGTTATACACACTACAATCTGCTGTGGTTTCCATAAATGTCAAGGGGAAGCAGGAGCAGTTTCCTTTTCTGTATTTTTTTCAATGGGAATGAAATAGAGCCTTGAATGGCTCCAATAGAAACCCAGGAGTATACGGCAGAAACAAATTCCACTGACGGCAGAGAGATGCTTCATCTCATTGTTGCTCATTTCTCTAGTGCCTAATTGGATCAAGGCAGAGGCAGGACCTCTGCAGTGACCCATGTAACAATAAGATTGCAACAACATCCTTTAGCAGAACCAAAACAGCCCTTGTACTGTATCATCACAAGCAGCAAGTCTGAGCTGCTGCATGTTCTGAGGCATGGTGGTGGTGTATTTTTACCATCCAATGTGTATGCTCTCTTGTGCGTTATTACTGTGTAAGTGCAGTGCACACCAGGTGCTTGCTGTATTAATCCCTATATAGGCCAGAAATATAAACCAAATCACATTTAGGTGCAGTGAGTGTTGGCAGCTTCCTGGAGTTAACCTTGTCGTCACTGTGAGATTGCCATATTTGCCTCGTCGTGCCCGTATAGGAACCTCTACTTAAGCCTCGGCTCGCTGATGGTATTTTTCAACCCACGTTGTACAGAAGTGCTGGGCTGCTGGATAATCTGGATAACTCCTTGTGAAACCACAAATTGTAATTTTAACATTACTGTTTGAGTACAATTTAAATGAACAATACATAGCATGTTAATAAGTGAGCTCAAGAGGTGTATTTTTGGAGTTTGTACAGGGCCAGGCTGACCTACAGTCTTTATGCTAAGCTAGGTTAACCACATCCTAGGTCCGTAGCCAAAGGCATAAGATTGTTATCATACTTCTCTTTAAAAAAAACACAAATAAGTGTATTTCTTTGAATGTTAAACTATTCCTTGAACACGAGCATAGTCACTGAGGGATGCTGTATGACCTGTCCTGTATGGTCTGTAGTATACAACAGTTGAACGTAGTTTGGCAATAAAGTTGAAGGATTGTCTGCCGAAGCAGCGACAATAGGCAGACCTACTGAACACAACAACAAAAGCAAGACAGGATGATGGCGCGACACTTCACAACCTACTGTTAGCTCAATCTGGATACCCTGATATGTGACCTTTTCATATTTTATATGATTTACTGGCAGCATATTATTAACATAAGAAAATTAAGCAATACAAGGGACTTTTCTCTGTACTTTCTTTTGAATAGAAATATTTTGGTGTTCCAGGTGACACATGCTGCATTTGCATGGAAATTACAACATACCAGTAACATCAGATAAGGGTGCAGTGTGAAAAACACTTATGAAAAGTTTTATGTTAATGCAGCTGCTATCAGTCACCATCTGTGGGCCTGTATGTGACCGCAAATCTTCCATCGGCTGGCATTCACTCCTGGGACTGTGGTAATTCTACTTCCCTTTTCTGTGAAATGTTGACATAAACTAAGTTAGTTGTGAATCAGCTGTTTAACTTCTGCGAATTAATCCACAACACGCTCTTTACTTACCATGGTTCTGCCACCAAGGCTTCTCACCTCCTATTAACTCAGAGACACACTCATCCCGCTGAAACCTCTTCACCATTAAGGAAAGTAATACTCTTTTAGTGTCATGTTGCAGTTTGTACAAGTCAAGATCCTGCCTTGAGGCTGGAGAAAGGGAAAAGAAAGGATGTAAAGGTAGATTACAGGAAAAAAGCCTTCAACAAAGGCGTGCACAGGAAGATAATTCATTGCACCTGCTCTGACAATGTCCAGTAACCTAAGACGGGCTTTCCTGGACAAGATGACACCTGTATGAATGAAGCTGCTGCAGCTGGGTGTCACATTTACATTTTGCGCAGATACACACGCAGAGAGGAATTCTTGTATGCATACAGAGTCACACAGTGGAACAGCTGCTCAGATTTAACACTTAGATAGTGAAGCAGAGGTGGTGTCAGAAAAGTTCCAGTGGAATTTTTGGTTTTGCTGCAAAAGACAAAGACACCATGCAATCAGTTAAAAGTGCTTGTTTGCAACCAAGTGTGCAACAATATTTTTTTTAAATTTGTGCATTGTGTCCAGACATGTTTTGACTACACCCACATGCCAAAAGACTTAAGCCAGTTTTGATTCAAAACATCTGAGCGATGAAGCGTTTACTCATTAGTATGACAAGACAGTGAAGGCCTATTAAGATGTACAGCTGGTCTAATCACTGTTGCCAAACCTGCTGGAGGTTCAGTGGAGGGACTGGTGGGTCACTGCAGCACAAAGTCTGAATGAGTCAGGGTTACGCAGCTGGCAACATTTTCAAATATCCATCTTTGTGTTGTGTAAGAGTGCAGGTCAAGGGTCCAACAGCAAATCCAGAGAATTACACAACCTGGAAAGTGGTCGACATAACTCCACTCTAAAGGAACTTGGCAAACTCTGCCCTGCAGTCTGTAATAGGTGAACTTCGGTAACAGCAGTCTCACATGCATGGAGGTTGGGCCATTACCAGACTGCATCTACATTTATTATTAACTGGCCATTGGGAGAGCAGCAGCAGTATTTGTGTGGAGTGAATGTTTTGTTTCTGTTTTAACCTTCTTTCAATGTTTTTTTACACACACCAACCACCCACACAGACTGGGTATGTTTTGGTAGCTTCTTCAAGAGATATGAGCTGGTTGTTAAGAACAATTCCACACTCTTTTTTTTTTTTACTATCATTATAAGCGCAGAGAATAAGGGGATTTTCGGGATCATATGAGGACATCAATTAAGTGCAGTAACCTCTTATGTAACTGATTCTTGGGAACACATATTCAAGGAAATAGACTATTAAAGGAAATATGTGTATTTGCTTTGTTGTTTCATGAGAATATTGGGACTACAGTTGTGTCTGCATGCTTTATATGAAGCTGCAATCAGCAACCGGTTAGCTTAGCGTAAAGACTGGAAACAAGGGAAAACAGCTAGCTCTGTCCGAAGGTAACGGACTCTCTGAAACACCCACTTCTAAATCTCATGTCTCATGTCATGTCTCATTTGTTTAATAAAGACCTTTGTTACCGTTGTACAGAGCCAGGGTAGCTGTTTCCCGCCAGTCTTTATACTAAGCTAAGGTAGCTAGCACCTAGCTCACTCTCAGCAAGTAGTCTTCTGTTTCTTTGTCAATATTTAAATCAGATTTTCCTTTTATGGCTTGTGTTAACACTGCAAGCCAAATACAAATGTGTTACATCACCATTTCTGGAAAGATTATGTGTAATGGATCAA